TATTTTTATTTTTATTTCTCCATACTCTAATAATCATAATAATATTGAAAAAATAATGAAAATAAACAAGTTTTTTTTTATTTAGAATTAAAAAATTTATAAAAACTAAAATCAAACCCCCATAACTACAACCATGCTAAATACAACCTAAAATAATCTATTTCTAAAATAATAAATGTTTAGGTTTTTACTCCTATTATTTTATTAAAATAACAAGGTTTTAAAATATATTTTTTATTTTTTAAAAGATCTAATTTTTTAAATAGCACACTAATGAAGATTAATATGACTAATCTCAACATCTAATATGCCTGCCCAAACAAATGAATTCAATTGATAACCAACTATCAATTATGTAATTTAAAAATAAAATTATCTATGTATATATAAAAAAAAATATCAATTGGTGACCCGGGAAGCTTTTCACTTATGTTGCTGTTGGTTTGTTGTTTAAGTTTTATTTTTTATTTTTTTTTTTTTTTAAAATAAAAAGGTTTAGTAAATTAGAAAAGTTTTTTTTTTTTTTGAACATATTTACAATGGGCGGGTTTCAAACTCAGCCCAAAAAGAAGGAATGCATCGAGTGGCTATTGCCACTAGGTCGTAAGTGCCAGGTGCTTGTTGTTTAAGTTTTAAGAAATTTAAAAATGTTAAATTAAAATAAAAAGGTTTAGTAAATTAGAAAAGTTTTAATTATTAATTTTTGAAATTTACCCAACAAATTGCTGATTTTAATTTTTTTTAATAACATTGTTGTTGGTTTGTTCTTGTTTTAGTTACAAAAAATTTTAAAATGCTACATCAAAAATAAAAACTAATAATAAATTAAAAAAACGTTGAGTTTTATTTATTAGTAATTTCGAAAATTTACCTAACAAATTACTATATTAATTTTACTAAATTTTAATTTTGATTTTCAGACATCAATGAAATTTCTAGACTTCAATGAGGTTCCGCCCTTTAATCTTTTCCCATCTGGTCTTTCACCGTCTGTTCGGTTTTTTTTTTCCGGTGTCGGAAACAACCAGCAGCCACGTCCCCTCGACGGGAGCTCAATTCGGCGCAGAGAAGAACCCGCCAATTCACCATTGTGGGTTCTTAGAGAGGCTCCAGCACGGAGGAGAACCCAGTTGTGGCTCTTTCCGTTGTTGAAATGGCCCATCGAAGGTTCTCTTTCAGGCAGCTCTTACAGTGACT